TTTTAAGGGACATAATCTCGATGTAAACAGGAATAGGCATGGAATGGTGGAGATAGAAAAGTGAAGCACATTTTACAATAGTATAACTAGAGCAATGAGGGTTTTTGTCTTTGTCTTGCTCATATATATATATATATATATATATATATATATATATATATATATATATATATATATATATATATATATATATATATATATATATGATGATGACACTATATTTCGGGATATCATCCGTTCGCTTGTTGAACTCCGACTGGAATCCTGCAGACGTTTCGCCAAAATCTCACTTGGCATCTTCAATGCTCGCGCTCCGAAAACACTTCGAACCCTCGGAGAGCGAGCATTGAGCAAGTGAGATTTTAGCGAAACGTTTGCAGGATTCCAGTCGGATGCGAACGGATGATATCCCGGAATATATATATATATATATATATATATATATATATATATATATATATATATATATATATATATATATATATATATATATATATATATATATATATATATATATATATATATATATATATATATATATATATATATATATATATATATATATATATAGTAACGGGGCTACTGGTAACACACAAACAAACTGTTAATTATTGGGATCACCCCAACTTCGATGGATCGCCGTAAAGGGAGCAATAAAAGATGTCGAAGCTCAAAGCAAAGTGGCAATTTATTGTAATATCTAGCTTTCGCCCATGGATACAGGCTTCATCAGGACACTAAGTCATATAGAGAACAAAAAAACACTTCACCAGAGTTAACAATCTAACCAAAAAATAGTGAAAAAAACTTAACAACACGCCTCTTTCAACCTCTACATATAGAAAGATAACATTGGTATATAAAATAAAGTGTTTCGCCCGTTCTAACTATCAACATAACACTCGATGGATGAAATTTATGGAAAAAATTTACAATTGTAAAAAATATTAACATCCACCACAACGTTACAAAGCAATCCCACTAACATAAAACGTTAAGGTCAATAAAATATCCGGATTGATAAAATATTAAAAGATGAAAAAAAAAAAACAGCCGATTTGTTACAAATGACACTCCGTATTGTCGAGAAGGAAAACTAAATGTGCGGGAACTTGATAACAGTTCGCAATAACCTAAAAAAGCCACAACCAAAAAACCAGTCAATGATACCAACTGTACAGCCAACCATAACATATGCAAAACACCAAACAAGGGAGGGAATTACAAACAGAATTCTTTCAAATATGCACCCATTGTACACTATTTATATAACTATGTTTACATTATTAAAGTTAACGTTAAGGGTAATTAGAAACAATCCTTTAGGAACGGGGACAAAGAAACAAAGAAAGGAAACTGTTTTTAAACATTAATAGCAACAAATTTAGCAACCCACTACAACCTGACCGTATCAAAAAACTCTGGTAGCTTATGCTTCGCAGTACGACTCTGATTAAGAAGATAGGTGTAGATGCTACTAAGACCCTCAACATCCTTCTTTCTGTTGAGGCTATTACTACAACAGTTAATATAACACATCTCTAAAAACTTACGTTTGAAGAGGTTCTTTTCACTCTTTAATACTACCGCTTCATCGTACATGACACTATGTCCGGTATCATTGACATGAGCACTTAAACTAGTAATATTTGGTTTTAACTTACAATCACTTTTATGAAGTGTTAGCCGTTTTTTTAACTTCTGTGAAGTATGACCAATGTAAATTAAATTGCAAGAGCATTTAATGCAATATACAACGTCTGATTTATGTAACGATGGGGTAATGTCTTTAAGATTGGAATAGAAAGATTTGAGGGGTCTTAAGTGGTAATTGGCAATTTTTATATTAGTATCTTTAAAGATCCTAATCAGAGCCGGGGACAATCTATCTATATACTGTAGTTTGCCAAAACTAGGCAACTCATTATTAACATTAAGCTGTGGTTGTAAAGCATTAGGCAGGTCTGTAGTGGCACTATTACAGGAGAGAATTTTATTTATTAACGATGGTGGGTATTTATTATTAATTAGTAGGTTCCTCAATAACAATAAGTTCTTATTTAACAGACTATGGTGACAATTTTTTTTTAATGTGATCAGTCAATGCTACAATCATATTGATCTTTTGTTTTTTAGGGTGATACGATGTGAAGGGAATGTATCTACCGGAACTAGTAACTTTTCTATGCCAATCAAGAATAACTAAATTTTCACTAGTGCGAATGACCTTTGTGTCAAGGAAAGGGACTGAACGATCTGTCTCCGTCTCCACCGTGAAAGTGAGATCGGAATGAAAGGAATTGAAAATTTCAAGTGTGGATTCGATGAGGTTAAGTGGAACTGCTGTTAATAAATCATCCACATATTGATATATGAAGGGGAATTCAAAACTAACTCTGTCTATCACATAATAAAGTAATTTGTTCATAACAATCTCAGCAATCACAGGGGAGGCCGCACCCCCCATAGGAAGGCCCTTCACTTGTTGGTAGAATTTTCCATCAAATGAGAAAAAAGTATTATTATTTTTGGATACGGTAACTTTTATTACCCTTCCTGGGTGTGCGGGGAGTGCAATAATGGCGATCCAAAATAAGTGTTTAAAAATATAGGAAGTAATAAAAATAAAATAATGATTGTTAATGCTAGTAAACATCATGTTATTAGATAAAAGCACTTCTGAAAAGAAAAAGTTCGTCAATAATTATCACAAACCAATAACAAATAGCAAAATAATCCCTAAAACGAAACTCGATCATTTGAATTTTGGGCAATTGTGCTCAACCGATTTTAAATTTTGCGCATCTTCCTGAAGAAAATAATGACCTTCCCAAATTTCAAAATTTTAACTAAACAAAATCTTTTTGATACCTTTAAAATGCCAAAATTTCGCGCAAGCATCTTAAGCCGTGCTGTGTGAGAAAAATGCGTTTGTTGTATCTACGTAGTAATTATTACGTGGACAACCTATTAACGTAAAATGAAAGCCTGTTCGCTTTTTAATCCTGCGTTTATATGTTTCTATGAATAACAAAGAAATTCCATGTCGGTCTCAAAAACTCGTAATTCAATTTATTTATATGGAAGGTCATAATTTTCTTTAGGAAGTTTGGCAACATTTTTAAATTGATTGCGCAAATTGCTTTCTATGGTAAAGAAATTTTGTAAAATTGCTTCGTAACGGGCGAGAAATTTGGAATATTTGGAACATCATATTTTTCTCCAGGCAAGTGAGTAAAATTTTATTGGTTACCTAAAATTCCACAAAATTCAGAGATTAACATAGCACAAGAAAGTTTTAATTTGGTTGTGGTTGGGAGGAAGTTGAAATTGGAAGACGCGAAAAGTTTCAAACTGATTGTGCAAATTGTGAGAAAAGCAGAAGCCTCTTTTGTTGGTGGGGGAAACACCATGTTGAGATGGGCAAAATTGTGCAAAATGTGCTCGAAACATGTACTGACATTAAAGTGGCGTGTAGGAAGAAAAGTTTGTTTCTTTTCTCCTAAGTTTACTACTCCATCTTAATAGTCAAACTTCATTTGAAATATAATTCTTCTCATAGTTAGGAGCAGTAAATGAAAATGAAAAGAAAACAAGTGTCTCTATTTAGTGTGGATATTAACTACATTAACGAGTATAACACAAAACATTCCCAAGCAGTACTCGTCTTCCTAATTAATTTGATAATACTAGCAATAATAATATGTGCTTATTCAGTAGACAACGATAATTATAAGTTTTAACTGCAACATAATGCAAAAAGTGACTAATGATAATAAATGTTTACAGAGATTTTTACGTAACTTATATAAAATAAAAAGTCTAACCTAGATAATATGAAAATCTAAAAATAAATAAATGGAACTTTAAATTTGACTTGGAAAACAAACAAATCTTACAAGTAAATATTAGACTTTTTATTTTTGATATTCTCTTTTCTTCTTCATCCTAGCTATTTCTTGTTCAGCTTAGCTATTTGTGAATGTACGTCTAGGAAATTATAAAAATGAGCTTCTAAAATGTGTAAGATCTTTGATCTATTTGTTTTTTACACGTACTTGTTATAACAATTTCCTTTTCTCTATTTTCATACTGTAAGAATGATTTATATATTTTTCAGTTCGGCTTTGTTTTTGAGAATATTTAAAACTGTTGTTTTAAAAAATAATTGCCTTATCGTAATACATTTCGACTCGCTAAGTGTAATTTCTAGTTTTTTGAAAGACGATTTTTACAAAATATTTTTGCATAGGTTTCGATTTTTCTAGATGTATATCCAATATTCTTCCGCTTCCTAAAGTACTATATTGTATACGCGAGTGCATGCATAATGGTGTTTATTGAAAATGTTTTAAAAATATTTGAATGTGTAAATCAATGGGCCTGAGGTTGTTTTTTAGTGTTTGTCGGCTTATCCATTGCTATTCTTAAGTATTATATTTTATCTTTTGACTTTAGTGAATAGTGTTCATTGTTTATTGTTTTTATTTCTAAACTGTTAAAATGCGTTTGTTGTACGAACATTGCATTTAAAACCGTTTTCTCTTCATTCACCTTAAAGGAAGTCTGTTTAAACCAGCTCGAGTAATTACTAAAGGCATTTTCTATTTTGATTATCCTAACAATCTTCGATCAAGATATCAGTTACATTGCTGACCTCATTCCAGCTTAGATCGAAGCTACTGTGTATTATAATGAAGTCAGTTGCATTTACTCAAAACGTAGTTACTAAATGGAGATTTAAAGCGGTGACCAATGCAAATGTATTTACTTACTTCTGCGTGGTTCACTGCGCCGTATAAGCAAAAAGTGAAAAACACATTGCCTGCGTGCGAGCGGAACGAGATTATTTTTTTCTCAGGACCAAAACAAAAACTGAAATGGGCAACTTAAAACTACAGACCGTTGCGGGGTAAAAATCTGACGCGCTTGTGCGATTTCATGACGGAGTTCGAGACTCGTGTCGCTTTTTGGGGGCAGTATTCGGCGGGTATCCGGGGGTGGCGAGCGCGTGGTCGCATCTCGTCCTGGAAAAGTTGCCGAAACGCGAACTTCGCGCAGTCCGGGAGTTGCTGCGGAAGTTTTGCCGCGGAAATTCGGGTATAATATTCGTGAACATTTAAGATCGTGGGACTTTTTTGCCGCTAATGGTAAGCGATTTTGCCGAAGTTGTTAGATGAATCTGCCTGTCTCCGATGAATACAAGGATTTTTTTACATTATTTATCATGCACGAATCGTCAAATCAATTCATATAATATACAAGGCGTTTTCTAATTAAATGTCAATAATTAAGGAGGCGATTTTTTGGTCCATTTAAAAAAGAAAACTCCATGTGAACATATGTCCCAAACGTCTTTACTTTTCAGATACAGGGTGTTAAAGTTTTCAAAAATAAAATATGTTTTTTTAATATCTGTAATACCACTTTAGATATTTTAATGAAAAATACACCAGTGGCGGAAATAAGGAATTCGACCTGTCTATTTTGGAAAACATTGATGGTAGGCCACTAATTCCTCTTAAAATAAAAATTATTGTTACAATCTCCAGTCATTTCTAAAGAAATTCAATTTCATGATTTTTCGGTTTTAGCTTAAAAAAATAATAACCTCTTCTCTGCATGGTCATAAAAATATCGTTAATATGCATCCAGAGATTTATTATCATTATTATTTCTTACTAAGTAATTGTCTGTTTTATCAAAATGCTTCAAAAAAACGAAGTTTAAATAAGAAGTACATAAACTCTAAGGTGTATTTTGAAATTCAGTTCTTCTCGTCTTATTAATTTGGTTAGTTTAAAATATCCGAACATTGTTATTTTAAAAAAGAATGTATGTATGTATGATGTATGATATGATGATTATATCAAGAGTGCTTTCCTAATAGAGTCATTCTAGATAGATAGAACATAGAAGGTTGATTGAGACAGGTACTTTGAGGGCAAATAATAATTTCAAAGGGGTCCATCTGTTGATGAAAATTCTAAACATAGTATTAGAAAAACTGGAATCTGAATATCTCACACGTATTGGTTTGTAAAATTTTGCACGATTTTCTATTGTTATCATATTCAACGAGTTCAAGCGTTAGTCAGAAAGGCGAAATGGTGAGAGGATTTGCCAATATTGCTAAAAGAAGTACCATATTTAATCTGGTTCGTGCATGACGGCGCGCCTGCTCACTTTAGTCTTCCAGTAAGAGAATATTTAAATCATACATTTAATGACTGATGGGTAGGCCGCGGCGGACCTCAACCATAACCCCGTTTTTCCCCAGATTTAAATAGTTTGGACTTTTTCTTATGGGGGCATCTGAAAAGTCAGGTTTATGGCACCCTAGCAAACACTGTAAAAGGACCCTATAACAGCTTCCTGCGAATTAATAAGAAACACTGAGATATACTTCAAAGAATGCGCGGCAATATGAAGAAAAGAACTGAAGCGTTCAATAACTTATATAGTTTCTATGTTCTACTTTATTCAAAAAGGTTTTTACTAATTTATTAACAGACAATTTTGTGAAAAAAAAAAGGTAGGTAGTATTTAAAAAAAATAAGAATCGTTAATTATTTATCTTGTTGTTAGGATGTTTCATTCAAAACTGTAAATGTAAAAAGAACGAACAGTCTTCTAATTTCTTTTCTGATGGACACTAGTTGGTAACTAATAACTAGATGATATTGTGTTTTAGATAAATACTTTATTTGCAGTGGCGACCTAATTAACCAAAATATTATTTGTTCTTAGATAGTACACTCCACAGATTTCCTTTTTTTTTAATCCGTCGCATGGTTTTCATATAAAAATAAAAAAGTAATGTCTCTGCATGCTGTCATAATAACGATGTTGTTATTACCATGCATTACCATTACCTGTCAGAAAGGCGAAATGGTGAGAGAATTTGCCAATATTGCTAAAAGAAGTACCATATTTAATCTGGTTCGTGCATGACGGCGCGCCTGCTCACTTTAGTCTTCCAGTAAGAGAATATTTAAATCATACATTTAATGACTGATGGGTAGGCCGCGGCGGACCTCAACCATAACCCCGTTTTTCCCCAGATTTAAATAGTTTGGACTTTTTCTTAGGGGGCATCTGAAAAGTCTGGTTTATCGCACCCTAGCAAACACTGTAAAAGGACCCTATAACAGCTTCCTGCGATTTAATAAGAAACACTGAGATATACTTCAAAGAATGCGCGGCAATATGAAGAAAAGAACTGAAGCGTTCAATAACTTATATAGTTTCTATGTTCTACTTTATTCAAGAAGGTTTTTACTAATTTATTAACAGACAATTTTGTGAAAAAAATAATGGTAGGTAGTATTTAAAAAAAATAAGAATCGTTAATTATTTATCTTGTTGTTAGGATGTTTCATTCAAAACTGTAAATGTAAAAAGAACGAACAGTCTTCTGATGGACACTAGTTGGTAACTAATAACTAGATGATATTTTGTTTTAGATAAATACTTTATTTGCAGTGGCGACCTAATTGACCAAAATATTATTTGTCCTTAGATAGTACACGCCACAGATTTCCTTTTTTTTATTTCGTCGCATGGTTTTCACATAAAAATAAAAAAGTAATGTCTCTGCATGCTGTCATATTAACGATGTTGTTATTACCATGCAGAAAAGAGGTTTTTATTTCTTTAAGCGAAAACCGTACATCGGAATGAAAAAAATCAAGAAATTAAATTTCTTTAGACACGATTGGAGATTGTAAGAAAATTTTTTTATTTAAAGAGAAATCAGTGGCATACCATCAATTTCTTTCAAAATAAATATGTGAAATTTTGCACGCCCGCCGCTGGTGTATTTTAAAAAAATGCGGTACACTAAATAATGCCTCTTGATCCATAGTACATACGTGCTACATTTCATTAAATTATCTAAAGTAGCATTACAGATATAAAAAAATATATATTTCTGAAAACTTTACTACCCTATATCTCGAAAGTTAAGATGTTTAGGGAATATGTTCGTATTAAATTTTCTTTTTAAAATGGACCCCAAAAATCGCCCCTTTAATTAATGACTGTCAATTGCATATTAAAAATTCGAGATTATACGTGTTTTGGTAATTTCGTGGCAACATTAAAAATTTTGAAAAATTATTATTATGTTAAGATTGCGCATGTTTTTGCAAAACAGCACGAAATCTAATAAATAAAATAAAAAAACAAGTATCGACAATGTCCGAAGGGGCCAGCGACTGTTTGTAACAAATCAGACGTCTTAAAGTCACACTTTCCGCACGCTTCACTAATTAGGTATTTTAGAGCAGGGAGTAGAAAAGAAAACAGCACATGAAAGGAAACCATGTTTTTAACTACCTACTCTAAAATTAACTAAAATGAAAATAACCAATCAACGTGTCACTTTAAAACGTTAGCTTCACTATCGCGAGTCAATTCGAGCTTTTTCGGTATTTTAGTCATGAGGTGGGAGCGATGATTCCAATATTTTTAAAAGATTTTAGTCCAGAATCGAAAGATGTGTGAACCCGTTAATGTCATAATTTCGGACGCCATTTTTATTTTCGTGCTTGGTTTATATACGTATATTTTTATATATTTATATTATATTATAACATTCAAATATTATCATGCCATTTTAAATGGATTTTTTGCAAACAGTGGAAATGTCTGGATTTTAGTGAACGCTCCTCAATTTTACACACTTACCCAGTTTCAACAAATTAGGTAAAAAACTGCGCGATTTATAAATCAAAATGTTGTTTTTGTAAAACGCCCTAAAAAAAGTTTCCATACTCTGTATCTGTATAATATCAATATCGGCCACTGTAGAACAAAGTAAACTTTTTTATTAATACATTTCAGAATGCAGTACATATTTATCAGCTAAGAGTAAGTCTGTTTTTTATATATACATGTGTCCTAACTTGCTTTATTTTCGAACTAGAGGCTGTCATAATTAACTGATTTTTTCAGCTTAGAAGATTTTGACAAAACTTGTCGTCACGAGGGTCTTTATTTTGTATGGTTAAACTAATTCATTTCAGTGGCGTCCTAGAGGATTATCGAATTGTTAGTTATAGGTAAAATTATGGCACGCTACTGAGTTTTAGTAATTTGTTTAGAACAACTTATAAAAAATGTTAGTTTTTTCTGCCTTGCGTTGTTATTTTAATTTTGCTTCGTTTTCAAGATAAAAGTCAAAAACTGTTGCCACTATAACAGTAAAAAACCAAAAAAGAGGTCTATTTGTGATTGCTTATTCCAAAAAAAAAAAAATATTTAAAACATATCACCGTACTTATGAGTATAAATCAGTTCACCTTTTTGGATGCCGCTGAAATGGATAATTTTATTTTAAATTAAATTTAAATCTTGAAAACAAAGCAATGTAGGACTTGTCTTTATATAAAAAATCTGACTTAACATTGTAATAATTGTAATAATAAGAAAATCATTTTTTGGGAGAAAATATTATCCGAATTAATGTTAAAAACAATTTTTTCAATGAGAAGTGCATATCGACGCTCAAGCAAAACACATCGGCAAACTAATATGGATCGGGGACCGTTCGAACGTGAATTGCGATTCACAATTAATCACGAACGCGAAAACTAACGTTTAATAAAGACGCCCATGCATTCGGCTTTAAGCGATAACGAACATACTTTACGAAGTTTGCTTGTCGAGTCAGCGAAAATTAAAAAAAAATTGCTGATGATTAAATTATTTCGCCATTCCTTCTCAATGGATTATTGGTTAGGCTTTGATGTTGGTTATTGCGTGTAGCCTGCTGCGACCGGTTGATCTGTTGCGGCCACCAGTTATGATTCTGGCCGGATAACCATGATACCATTTTATCAAAGCTCAAGTTTACTAAACAATTTAGGAGACTTTTTGGTTCTTACTTGGATTATCTGTGTTTTACAATGGGTTTGAATCAAACTCTTAACACTTGGGGCCTCTGTTATTTGATCTATTTATTGATGATTTATCTGAATCTACTGTTCCCAATCACTTAATTTTCCAAGACTCTAGAAACTTTCCTAAAATAGTTTCTGTTCCTGTTGTATTGAAAATCCAACTAAACATTGGTGTGCAAAACAAACCAACTTTTGATAATTAGTTTTATCACAACTGAATTTTAATTTTTATTTATAATCATTTG